AAGTTTCTCTTTGAAAGCCCAATTCATTATTTAAAGATAGATTTTGAAAGAGATTTTGAAGGAGGTTTTGATATTGATGAAAAATTTAATTTTAATGAAAATGATACATTTTCATTAAAATTAAACGATAAAGAAAAAGAAATAACTAAACAACTATTAAATTTTTATCATGAAAGAGACAATAAAAGCCTAAAGTTAAAGTCAGGTCAATATTTTATTAAACTGTCAAAATATCTTTATGATGTTAAAAAAGAATTTGAATTTATTGTAAAAACGAAAGAGGGAAGAATTGATTTATTTTTATTTAATGAGTATCGAGACTTTTTTATATTATTAATAGATTACTTAAAAAAATATAAAAGTAAATATAAAAATGATCTTATAAAAAATTTTTCTCAATTAAAAAACAAATATAAGTGTGACAATGATACTATATATATTACTTATATTAAACTAAATAGAGTATATTATTATATACATAAAATTGAATTTATTGAAAAAATAATTTCATCTAAATTTTTTAATATAGTTGATAAAGTTAACATGGTTGATATACTTGATAAAGCTATTAAATTTAAATATGATATAGATGGGCTAGAATTAGATGGTTTACAAAAAGAATTAAAAAAACTAAGTTTTGATAATTTTAAAATTGTTTTGAAAAAAGTTAAAATTAAATTTGATGATGATTATAAAAAAAAATATATGATGATACAATGATAAATCTTCTAATGTATTTTTATGTTCTTGAAACTAATAATAGTGGAATCCGTTTTAAATTTCAAGATATAAAAGATAAAATAAAGGAATGTTCAGACATGTTACTATTAAATTATGATGATAGTAAAATAGAATCAGAACTTAAAAATATAATAGATTTTCAAGAACAAAATGAATTAGACATAGACCCATTTTATATAAAAAGACAAATTGATTTCGAAAATAGATTATGTAAAAGGTTAATGGAAAATTTAAAATCTCTTAACCAATCTTTAGATTCTTCCTTAGAAAAACAAAAGAAATATATTGAATGTTTTCGTTTATTTCTTAAAAATTATAGAGCTTTTGCCGTTTACTTACACAAAATTGATCTTTCATCCTAAATAAAACGGTTTCCAAACTTTGTTTTTTATTTTTATTAAAAATATTTACAGATTTTAATTAAAAATTCTAATGATATAATGTATTTTTACTTTTTAATTAGAATTTTTAATTAATGTTTCAAATCACTTTTTTAAAAAATTTTAAGTATAAATAAATAATTTTAAAAGCTTGCTTGAATACCATTTAAATGTTATTATTTTGTTTAAAACTCCTTAAAATATTCAAAAGAAAATAAGAAAATAGTTGTGATTAAAATATAGTATTAATAGAAAATCTCATCTAAAAATCATTTAATTTTTTATTTAAATTTTTCGTATCATCTTAATTTTATTTTTTCACTTTACTATTATCCGAATCTAAATTTAATATATTTGATAATAATTAATTTATAATAGAAATATAACATTTAAGGTAATATTCTTTGAAAAAAATGATTTTTTATTTTTGTATAACTGAAAACTTTGCTTAAATCATATTGAATTTTAAATAGAAATTTTTATTTAAAATATCAAAAAACTGTAAATGATTATTCAAAAAACAGCCATTTAATTAGAAAAATTATTAATATATAAATAACTCTTATTTAGATAT